ATAGGACGGATGAAGTATATCTTATATAAATATCTATTTTTTTTTACAGTTTTCTGATATCTCCACTAAAACACTGAACATGCCTAATGTCACCATAGGAAAGAGCCTACGTCCTACCAGACTAATAGTAAGAATAGTCTGTAGTTTATTAGTGCAATAACAACTGAGAATACCAAAGTTGCAGGGACAATTTCATATTAGATGTACCAGGTCATTTATTTCTCACTGTTATGAAATGACGGGTGAAGAGCTATATTCCTGAATCAAGATAGGCAATAAGCAGAACGAGAACATATCTTTTGAGATTTTTTTTTTCCTGAGAAATTAATCAGAAAGAGAATATGACTATCAAGGAAACCAAAGAAGGCAATAATACCGTCTTGATGAATGCCGCTGTGCTTTTACCCGGTCGAACAAGTGGGATTGAGGCACCTTGTCGCTTCAATTGTTCGCTGACATCATCGGGGTCCAATTGCAGGAATGTATAATAGTAATTGAAGAAGGCAATCAATAAAACGTTTGCCGGGAGATAGTAAGAACCTACAAACGAACATCTGTTTGGTCAGATCCCTCAAAAGTCAAAATATTATAAAGTGAAAATAAGTTCACACATGCACGAACAGAAAGAAATGCACTGTCAATAAAACTTTACGTTGAAAACACAACTACCATTTTTATCTTTTACCTTTCTTTCCAAAATGACGGTCACCTATTCCATCTTAGACAACTTACTTTCCAGCTTCTCCCTCTAGTTGCCCTATCTTTTACTACGTAGTACCACTAACTCAAAAGTATTGCACAACTGGTTTAAGAAGACTAAACCTCTTCAAATATGGATAGCCGGCAATTTGTTTCAAGTTTTAGGTACAAGCTTTTTCAGTGAAAAGTGCACGTCAAGTAAGGCAGCTGCACTATCTTTTACTTACCTCCAGGGTTTAAACCTGCCGCAGCCTTCCTCAGGAAACCTACACCAGTGAAACGTGCCAGAGTGCCAGGAAGGGCTAGTGATGACGTAGAGAAAATAATTGGCATTACTCCTGTACTGTTCACCTGCTCATTGTAACTATAACAGTTAGTTGTAACTAAGAAGGATCATAATTTACTAATTGTAGAAAGAACTACACTGCATGCTTCCATCAAAATATAAGGATTAACGTGAAACAATGGCTCCCTTTGTCCCTTAGTCGATGTGGGAGACTCAACGCCCCTTCCCACACCCAAGTCTGCCAACTCGAGCGTGAACAATATAATATGGGGGCCCAACATCGATGAAACAAAGAATTGGGATGGGTCTGGCTCTGATACTATATGAATTGTGTGACCATCTCATCTAAAAGCTTAAGCTGTTACAGAGAGCACTCTTTTATTTACTTAGTCTCTTCAACACACCCCCTCACGTCTTCATTCATTTTTTTCCCTTGGCCAAGCACATGGAAATTTATTTTTTGTAATAGGTGGCAGTAAGACTCGAACCAGGACCTCTGCATGCTCTGTTACGAAATAGATCTCAAGCCTAATTCAATCTCAAAAGGTGAGGATTGCCCAAGCCATATAGAGAGATCAAGTCCCCCGTCCCTAGCCGATGTGGGAGACTCAACGTTACTTATCACATGACTAACCACTAATGAAGAAGAGCTGATGCCCCACTCTTCTTAAGGAGTACAAGCCTTCAAAACTAACTAAACGAAACAAGAGAAGAAAAGAATACTAACTTTAAACGGTAAGTATGCAGATTTTTGAAGTCCTCCACCTGTTCTGCCAGAATATCTTGATGCATAATTTAGCGGAATTTTCCTCTCTGCTTCCTGAAAATCTTGGTTGAGAACACTGTTAACAATTTTTCCCTCAAAGGCATGACAAGAAGTTAAATGCTACTAACCTAGAAATAAGAACATACCTGTACATATACAATGCTAAGGACTAGCAGGAAGAACGAGACTAGGATGCCGACAAGCCCAGCATAGTTACCATCTTGATATGCTTGTGCGACTGTCCTACCAAAGGATGCTGGCAAGTAGGAGATGATATTTGTAAAGATCAAAAGGGATGTACCATTTCCAAGTTTTAAATCAGTGATTCGCTCCCCAATATACGTCGTAAGTACAGAGCCGAGGGTCAAGAGAACAATAGAAGAAATCGCCCACTGGGTACTGAAGTCATTGACATAAGGACGAAGGAATAATACTTGGCCAATTGCCTGCCGCAGAAATTAAAGATAAGTGTAATTTGCCAATCGACTCTGTATTTACGCATGAAATGCAATTCCTCAAACACAATGTACAAGTGAGAATCAAATTGAAACAAACTACTAATACTCTTTTGTGCATGAAATATCTCATATACAGAACGCTTGTTCATTCAAATAATACTCCCTACGTTTCATCTAATGTGGAGGTGTTTGACTGGACACATAATTTAAGAAAGAAAGTAAGACTTTTATAACTTGTGGTCTTAAACATGCCATGACATATCAATGGCTCTAAAAGCTTGAAGTTAAGAGAATATGGAAAATTTAAAGTTAATTTATTTTCAAATATAGAAATGTGCCATTCTTTTTGTAACAAACTAAAAAGGAAAGAGTGCCTCATAAAATGGAACAGGGGACCACAGGCAAATTTAGGATTTAAACTCTATCGGTTACTCTTAAAAGGTTTTTATTATTGAACCCGTTGTATTTTTAAGGTTATGAGTTCATATCTACTATATGTTGCAATTTTAGTGAATTTTTTACACGTCTCGAAAGTACTGGGTTCAAATGAATCCGGTACCGATACGTTACATCCTCCTCTGAGGGGCAGTGTTAGATTTTCTAGAAAAAATAATATTACCTGTACTACAGCAAATCCAACAGAAGCATAGCGAGTATACTGAAGCACTTTCTTTCTCCCAGCTTCACCTTCTTTCTTCTGAAGGTCTTGCAACTTGGGGTAGATTTGAGCAAGAAGTTGAAACACAATTTGTGCATTGATGAAGGGAACAATACCTAGCGAACATATTCCAAGGCGACCTATGCCTCCACCAGAAAAGGAATCCAAAGTACTTAATATACTATTCTCATCTAAATTGCCAACAAAGGCCTCCCGATTTACTCCACCAAGCGGTACATAGATTCCGAGTCGTGACAAAGCCAAAAAGCCCAATAGCTTTAGAAACTTTCCTGGTAATGGACCTTTGAAGAAGTCACCAAAATCAATGCTAGTATCTTCAATGGCAGCTGTAAGTGACAAGAAACACTAATCAAAGGCTAAGACATGCGAGTGTAATCAACAACATAAAAACACAATATCTTAAATAGATAGACTACCTGCGAACCCTCGAGCTGATGAAGTTTTGTCTTTCCTGGTATTTGAGGAACTTTCAAATGTCTCAAAGAACAAGCTCACCAAATTATCCCAGGATGATTTACCTGAATTAATACCCAATGGATCAAATTCTGAACTATCACAGCTGGAGAAAGAGGATACAAGTCAGCAAGAAGAGAAGACTAAAGATAATGGAAACTGAAGAAAAGCTAAATTAAATTAATGAAATGAATCAACAGCATATACAAGTCCAAAAAGATCACGGAAGGAGACTGAGCAAAGAGTTGTTAGTAATCAAGTTTTGGCTCAAACTTACAAAATGCTTAACAGTTTAAAATTCCATGCAACAAACTTTCTCACACAAGAATTGATCAAATCAATTAATTCTCCATATAACTAAACAATCTCAAAACCATAGGAAAGAGTATGTCAATAACCAAGATACAAGAACAGAGAAGTAGAAGTTGGTAGTTAACCACAGTACAGACTTCGATGCACGCAATAATCATATCTTTCTTAGTACAAGTTTGGGAATTTCTCTTTCTTTCTAAGGAGCAAGAGTCTCAAGGTGAATAGCCAAACAAAACAAAAACAAAAACCTTTCAGATATAACTTAAATAAATCTTCCTATAAGTCACAACTAACCATAGGTATATGCTCTTTGGATTCCCCTTCCATAAACCTTTTTATTTAGTTTCAAAGAAGGTCCATTTAGACCAAATCTCATGTTTAATCCCTACATTTTCCTCTACTGTTCTCAAATATAAGCCTGTAATGTACTCAAGTATGTCAGAAATTTGTTAAACTTCATCAACCATTTTTTTTAAAGAAAGACAACCCCTTTGCCGAGGGTCTATTGGAAAAGCCTCTCTACCTTCACTAGGCAGAGGTAAGACGTGTGTACACATTACTGGGTTCGTTGTTGTTGTTGTTGTAGAAAGACTACCCCTTTCCACACTCTTGAACTGTAAAAGAGCTTTAAAATTTTCATCCTTGGAATAGAAATATTTGCAATTCGTCAAAAACACACCAACATCCAGATTTTTAGGAATTCTTTTTCAGAGAAAACTAAAAACAGCAACAGGAAGGTAAATGAACTATTCGAAAGTAAATATTATAACACCAGAAAAATAACTTGAATTCCAAGAAGTTACAAGTTTTAAACAAGACATATTACAACAAACAATGAGAAAGTTCAAGTCTTTATATTGAAATTGAGTAAAAATCAATGCACTTAAGAGCCAAAAAACCAAAAGGGTATATTTTAATTCCAAGAATTTGTACCTATTTGTGGAGTGATTGAGACCAAGATTCCATGACGGGGCAGAGGTATTAGTGTTTTTTCTATTGAAACTGAGGCTGCTGGCTTTACAAATGAATGTGAACCTATTTACCTTTAGAGAGTTTAGCTGCTTGGAATTATTATTAGTATTAGAAATGAGAGAATTGAAGCACAGAGAAGAAGAAGAAGAGGAAACTTCTCTGACCGTTATCAACATTATCCTCACACAGACACACACTCTCCTTAGGATTCTTGAACTAGAAAAAGAGTCAGATGTTTAGCTGTTTCTGAGGTATATAGTCTCATTGATAATCACTTGGGTCCCTATAGTTTAGAAATATTGGGTTTTAGGCTTATCTGGTTTGACAAATAAAATTAAATAAATTAAAAAAGGTTTTTTTTTTTTTTTAAAGCGCTAAAAGTCTAAAACCCTACTTGTGACACCACTCTTCTCTCTATTTTGCTAGTAATTCCGACCACTCCCAACTCTTTGGTTATTAGCTTTAACGCAAAAATGGAACTTGGAACATCTTTCAGTGCTTCAAATGTCAGCAAAACGATGTTTTTATCAGTCCCCATTACCCAAAAATCAAATTTATTTCCAAATTCTTTGCTCAATCCCTTTAACTTTTCTTTCCCAACTATAAAAAACTGTTCTTGCAAAGCAATTGCTAAAGGGTCCATCGTCAGCTCCTTGAAAACTCAAGAAAAGGTGCCTTGTTTTTGCTTATTGGGTTCCTTGTTTTTTAGATGAAATTTCAATGCTCTTTACTCTACTTGAACTATTCTTTTTTGTTTCTTCAAAAAAATATTCTTTTTATGTTTTTAGTTTTTGTGCTGGATTCTATCTTTAGCAAAATTTTACTGAAGAATCTGGATGAAAAAAACATGCCCATATATATATATTTGTTAGTTATGATGCCAATGTGTATATTGGTATAAGGGTACGTTCTGCTTTTAGCAAATTGTTAAGTTCAGGCAATGGTGGGGTAAAATAGTTTTCTATAGATGTTTACTTGGCCTTTTTTTCCTCCTTGGACTGAGTGTCGTGTTGTCCAAGCTAGCTTGCAGCACCTTATTCTACGGTGTAGCTGCCAGTGTGTCAAAATTTAAAGTAGATACACAAAAAAGTCAAGATGATTCAATATAGTATATATACATAAAAAATAAATTTTACCGATCTAAACTGTGTATTTTTCCGGCGAAGGGGTGCCAGTACCCGCGGAGCTACACCGGTACCTGCTATCTCCTACCAGCACGGGTACTATGTAAGTTTGTCCACCAAATCTTGGACAGATGGTAAGAAATCACCTAGTGTTTTTCCATGGGATTTGAACTCTGAGACCTCATGGTTCTCAACCCATGTTATTGACCACTAGGCTACTTCATTGACCATTGTTGTGCTTTTCTACATGTGCTTCTAGGAAACCTATGTCTCTCGAACTTTCTGCAGTTTATGGAAGAGACTAGTCAATTTGGTGTCTATATGGGAATTGCATAGTTGCAGATACTTATATCAACAAACTTTGTTTGGCTATCTTGTAGCATACGCTCTATGGTAATTCTTTTTATAATGGTGATGTTCAGGCTCGTTTGTGTGTACCTCGACTATTTTGTTGAGTACTTGTTAACTCTTACCAACACAGGTACCGAGTAGCTTTGCCCACCAAAGCGTGACCAGAGAGGAAGAAATCATCTAAATTTTTTATCTGTTGGGATTTGAATTGTGGTCTTCCATAGATTTCATCCCACTTCATGGATAGTTAGGCTACACCTCGGGTAATTGATAATGTAAGAGTAGTATCACCTGCTCGAGTATGCTGCAATGTTAAGCACACTCATTACGGTACCTAAGGCATAAGGTTGCTCTTTGTATGTGCGTGACTGATGTATGAGTGCCTTTTGACAAGTTCATATTTGGTGTAGGGTTCATCAGTACTCTACTCCTTTTCTTATTATTGTTTTCTGGAGCGATGGGTCTTTTCTTTGCTTGCAGGGGTTATTGCTTATATGATTTATTGACATCGTATCCTTTTAACTTCTCAGGTCAAAGGGATGTCTTCTGATCATTCTCAAGATCTAGAACTCACAAGTTTATCAGCTCTATGCCCATTGGATGGTCGTTATTGGGGTAAAGTCAAAGAATTGGCTCCTTTTATGAGCGAGTTTGGCTTAATTCGTTTCCGCGTTTTGGTTGAGGTTGTTTCTTTTTCCCCCTTGACTATGTGTCACTAGTCTAATTTCATGATCATTTGCGTTTGGAAATTTTCAAAATGATGCAAAGTTCTACTGATCCGTTGACATCTCTGTTTTGTCAGATTAAATGGTTGTTAAAAATGTCTCAAATTCATGAAATCTCTGAAGTTCCAAGCTTCTCTGAAGGAGCTCAGACGTTTTTGCAAGACTTGATTGATGAATTTAGTATGAACGATGCCTTGGAAGTTAAGAAGATAGAGAGAGTCACGAACCATGATGTGAAAGCAGTGGAATACTTCTTGAAACAAAGATGTCAATCTCATCCAGAGATAGTTAAGGTATGAATAAACCCCTGGCGTCTTTCACACGTTCGTTTTCTTTCAATAGGAAACTAGAGTTACAAAGATTTATGTGAAAGTTGTCAACCCCAAAAATCTTTATGTGATGTAACTAACTCTGAATTTATCTTGTTCCTATTGTTGTCCCTCTTTCTGTGGTAGGTGCTCGAGTTTTTTCACTTTGCATGTACATCTGAGGACATCAACAATCTTGCCCATGCTTTGATGCTGAAAGGAGCTTTGAACACGGTCATCTTGCCAGTCATGGATGAATTGATTAGCGCGATATGTGACATGGCCACAACATATTCTTCTGTTCCCATGCTTTCTCGAACCCACGGGCAGGTAATATTATTTTTTCTGCACATCCTCTAGTTAGGTGTACTTTTGAATAGTATTTGATACAAGAAGATTAACCTCTTGGAAAATGGTGGTCATCCATAGAGGTGAAGCCAGGATTTCAACTTTTATGGGTTTTGGATTTTAGAACGACGGCTTCAGGTGCTAATAATTGGGTTCTAAATTTAATAGTTGTACATATTTTGATGAAATTTCTTAACACAAATACACTGTTTCGAGAAAAGCTACTAGGCTTGGCCGAACCCATAGCGAGGCGTCTAGCCCCCCCCCCCCCCCCCCCCCCTCTTTCATTCATATATATGCTTAGTGACTGCATAATGTAGTTTGCTTCTTAATAATTTTTGAACACTTCTTTTTTCAAAGCATTGCTCATTCTTTTTGCAACTTGTAGCCAGCTTCACCAACAACCCTCGGAAAGGAAATGGCAATTTTTGCTTATCGATTAAGCAGGGAAAGAAAGGAGATTTCTCAAATTGAGTTGCTCGGGAAATTTGCTGGTGCTGTAGGAAATTACAATGCACATGTAGCTGCATATCCTGAAGTAAACTGGCCACAAATTGCTGAGGAGTTTGTGATGTCACTTGGATTAAAATTCAATCCATATGTTCCTCAGGTTTGTTCTACAGATAAGTTCCTTTCGTTTCTTCAGCACTACATTAGGCTTACTGTGCCATTTCTTTTAACTGTTTCTGTTGGATGCTGCATAATTCATTTCATAGTTGAGCTTTGTTCATTAGTTAGAGGGAGGTTTATAGCTGTTTTTGAGGTACTCCATCCGATTTAGTTTATATGATAGTATTTGACTAGGCACAGAGTCTAAGAAAGAAAGACTTTTAAGACTTAAACCAAATATATATAATATACTAAAATAACCCACAAATCTTGTGGTCTTCGACATGGCACAATAAGAGCATGTCATTAAGGCAAAATGAGAATGTTAAAATCAAAGAGTTTCCACATATAGAAATGCGTTGATCTTTAAGAAATGGACAAGAAAGGAAACTTTGTGTTCGTACATAATGGAATGGAAGAAATATATATTAGAGTTCTGTATTCCTTCTGAATGAGTGCATAATTTTGCATTACCAAATTAGAACCTGTTCTTCAACTTCTGACTCGATTTCCTTGTGATGCAGATCGAAACTCATGACTATATGGCCAAGCTTTTTCACTCGATTGTCCAGTTTAACAACATTTTGGTTGATTTTGATAGAGATGTTTGGGGGTATATTTCTCTGGGTTACTTTAAGCAGGTGAGTGTCCAACATTTTGGATATCTTCTATTATTATTGTTTTGCCGGATAATGGAGTTCATAATTCTTTTATGTTACATAGACAACTAAAGCTGGTGAAATTGGGTCCTCGACGATGCCTCACAAAGTAAATCCAATTGACTTTGAAAATAGTGAAGGCAATCTTGGAGTAGCTAACGGAAATCTATCCCATTTGAGCACTAAACTACCTATTTCGCGTTGGCAGGTATGTCTAATCCGGTCATATTTGTCTTTATCTTTATCTTGAATGTAGTAAAGGCAAGACATATTTAGAGCATGATAGTTTGTAGGTTCTGTTGCTATTCTGATTGTTTCAGTTCCATCCATCTTGTTCGTAAATTTTCTTTGATCCAAATTTTGTCATTTTGCAGCGGGATTTGACAGATTCAACTGTTCTGAGAAACATGGGAGTAGGACTAGGACATTCTCTTCTTGCTTACAGAAGTGCACTACAGGGAATTCAGAAGCTTCAGGTAAGCAGTACAAGTTGAAACTGCACCTCGTATAAGTTAATTTGTTATCCTTTCTCCTGTATATCTCGAGATGCTTAGACTGCCAAGTGCTATAAAATGTACATCTCCCATTTGCTCACATGACACTGAGTAAAATGTGGATGCAGATATTGGAGAAGTTACTGTACTGTATTCCACATGTCCGCGTACTCATGCTGAATTATCACTTTATTAATTTGTTTTGACTTATCGGTTTTTAATCTAGGTGAATGAAGCTGCTCTGAGTGAAGATCTAGATAAATGTTGGGAGGTTCTTGCCGAACCAATACAAACGGTATGCAGCTTTTGCTTTATCTGGACTCATTGTTAGTATTTGTCAACCACTCAACCTGCTGTGTGTATGCAATTATTTTAGATTCCAAACTTGAGTTTCCCCGTATGATCGATGAAACATATTGTAGTAGTAATGCTGATAGTGTTTGCTAGGATTAAGCCCCGGCCCACTATTCTTGAGCCCCTCCAATGTTCCCGGCTTAATAGAACTTGATGAAATTTACAAAGTTTATTTGTTCTATTGTTTGGTGTTTAGGTGATGCGAAGGTATGGTGTGCCAGAGCCGTATGAGAAACTGAAGGCGTTAACGCGAGGAAGAACAGTGACCAAAGAAATTTGTAGAGATTTTATACAAAAATTGGACATACCGGCTGATGCGAAGACAGCTCTCTTGAACTTAACACCTCATACTTACATTGGAACAGCTGCAGAATTGGCTAAGAACATAACTGAGGCCATAAATCTAGAGAATGGAGCTCAAATCTTTTGAAATGAGAGCCGAAAACGTTCGCAACTCTCTGCATCGGTGGCGGATGGAGCATACAATCAACAGGTTCTACTGAATCCAACAGTTTCGACACAGAGTATAGATCTTTTGTGAAAAATCACTAAGATTTCAAAAGAGAGAGATTTTTGAACCATTAGATTCAAAAGTGTAACGGGTTCAGCCATAAGCTTAAATGTTGAACCCGTTAAATTTAAATTTGGATCCGTCTTTGCTTTGTATTATTTCCATCCATGAGTGGTTATCGACGTGCTAAACTCATTGGAGATATAATGAAAATTGTTCTACTCGTAACATCTTTAGTTTGTTTAATGCACTATAATGTAAAAGAACTTTGAGAAGATCAGTCCTTTTGAATTATTTTAGCATCTATAATGATTTCTTTTTGCTTTTCATCCGATGTTACTCGTATTGAGGTTCTGATTAATTTGAATTTGCACCGTGTGAAGCTCATTAAAAGAGGAAAATGCTCGAATTCGAAACGTTTGAGTAATGGCGGAGAGATGTATAATAACTCATCATAAAAGGACATAATTGGAATTCTAGATATTAGCCTTATAATCCTATTAGTTTTAGGACGTAATACTACACGTTAGAAATCCTACATGATTACTTTTAGTAGAATCCTAATACTTTTAGTCATGCAGTGTTTTACTCCTTTTCTTATTAAATTCAAACTATGAACTCTATAATACATTCCCTGTTTAACTTGAATTTGAGTATAAAATATGAACTACGAATACTAAATCTAATTGGGGTTTTGACACAGTTACCTACAAAAATAAAACTATTTACCCTTGTCTGCCCATTTGTTTTCCTACCCATAAACTAATTACATTTTCTACCCATAGTAGGTTTTTGTGGAGAATTTTTTCTTTATTCTCCAATTCTTTTTTATTTCTATGCTTCTTTTCTTTTCTTTTTTTTTCTTTTCTCCTTTTCTTTTTTCTCGTTTTCTTCTTATTTTTTTCTTTTTTCCTTTTCTAATTTCATTTAACTTCTTTTTTTTTTTATATTCTTTTTCTCTTCATAATCTAATTTCATTTACTGTTTTCACTATTTTTTATTATTTTTTTTTTATACAATAAGAAAAATAATTGATATAGTAAATATTTGTTTACCTTTTTTTAATATAACTAGTACAATATGCCTTTTGTTTTATTTTTCTTTCTCATTTTTTAAATTCAATTATTAAACTGAAATAATATCAGTTGTCACTTGATCTAATACACTGAATATCACATTGACTGCTGTTGAGCACCATAAATTACATANTTTCTATGTCTTTCTTTTCTTTCTTTTTTCTTTTTTTTCCTTTTTTCCTTTTCTTTTTTCTCGTTTTCTTCTTAATTTTTTCTTTTTGCCTTTTCTAATTTCATTTAACTTCTTTTTTTTTTTATATTCTTTTTCTCTTCATAATCTAATTTCATTTACTGTTTTCATTATTTTTTATTATTCTTTTTTTATATTGTTACTAAATAAAAATCAAATTGTGTACCAATTAAATGTAGCTAATACAACCAAATAAATATTAACTAACATATGATATCAGTATAGTATATAACTATACCAACAGGTTATACAATTGTGCGCAAAGAGTTAAAAAAAATTCAATTCAATTATTAAACTAAAATAATATCAGTTGTCAATAAAAAATTTAAAAAATTCTAAAAGGATCTAATTGTAAGAATATACCGTTACTTTATATAGCATACTATAATTTTTTTTTATTTTTGTTTGCATTTTCAATTTGCTCCTCACACTGGGTAAAAGCTTAAAACAAATTAAAAAGGAAAAGGCAAGTGAATTTACGGGTAATAAGTATATTATTATAGTATATTGTATACTATTACAGCATATTGTTACAGTATCTTGCAGATTATTACAATATACCATAATAATATATTGTATACTATAATAGTATACTGTTGCTGTATAACTATATACTCCTATAGTATATTAGTATACTGTAGCGGTATACTGTTTTGTAAACTATAATAGTGTACTGTTGCAGTATAGCTATATACTCCTACAGCATATTGTATACCGTAGCGGTATACTGTAGTTGTGTTCTTCTTCGATTTTCAACTGAAAATTTCAATCTCAATCACCTCAAATCAGCTCCAAATGCTATCAAATTTCAGTATGAATTTCCAGAAGGTACTATAAGCAATATTTAACAACACCCACTTTGAATCAAACAAGAAATCTTCAAAAATAAAATTGAGCTTCAAGCCCAACAATGGTGGATAATGGAAAGATTCTCAAAGGATTATATTAGCATAGGACCTGAGACGTAAATGACCAGAGACTTCTGTAAATGACATACCCACAAATATTATTACTGCCACACAAAACTAAGGATATTCTTTTGGAGTTTGAATCTCTATTCCAATGTTTTACTCACCAATTGTTTCGATGTTCGTCTCTCAGAAAATGGAATTTTCAGACTTTTCGTGCCAAACTCCAAGTTTGTCCTAATCCCTGGCTATCAAGCACCAGAAGTGGAAAATGCCTACGATGTTTCTCCGAAATCTGATGTTTACAGCTTCGGTGTCTTGCTGTTGGAATTACCGACTGGTAAGGCCCCGTTGGAAGCAATTGGCAAGAACACAGGGGTTGATTTACCTAGTTGGGTTCGAGATATGTTTCAAGAAAAGCCTATTATTATTGATGTTTTTGACAGTATGCTGCTGCATAATTACCAGAATTCTAGCTCAGCTTTTGTTTGCAGATTGCGACTGAAAAATTAGCGGGTAATTAATTTGGGTCTCATGGGTAGGAATAGTAAATAGTTTGGGCATCGGCATTAAAGGGTAAATAGTTTGGATTTAATGGGTATAAAGTGAGATTTTCTCAATCTAATTTCCTATTGCACTAGAACTCTAAAATATTCCATATTTTGTTACCAGTATTTGAGTGAAAATAATTTTCTTCATTCAATGGGATTTAGACTTAAAGGTCAATTGTAAGCTCTTTAATGAATATCAATTTTAAAGTGTAGTGTTGCAGAAAGAAATTAACGAAACTCGGTGACTTCTCAAAGTTATTGTATTTTTCTTTGAAATCAAAGTGAAACCTGAAAACATGTGCTTTTTACTCTTTCTTTATCATCTTTTTGGGTATGCAATTGATAGGTTTTCATGAGTTTTAATTTTATTGTCGAACTTTAGTTCATTTATTTGCCAAAACATTTTCAATGTTGTTGTCAAATCTTTTATCATGCATGAATACAATGTTGATAGTTGATAATCCTCCAAAATGTAAATCGTATCTTCAAATAAGATAATTTCCTGTATATTAAAATTATAACGTTAAATTCCTAATGTGAATTTGTATGGAATACTAATACCAATCATGGTGTCCTACTCATTATTGGAATTCTAAAGTGCACTAAGAATATTTGGTACAATCCTTTACCATTATCTATATTCTTATTTATATCCGTATCTGTATATAATGTTAATTTGCGAAAATAACCTTTTGATATTAAGCATAGTAACTCACCATAAAGGGACATAATCGAAATTCTAGACATTAGCCTTGTAATTCTATTAATTTTAGGACATAATATACGTTATGAATCCTACATAATTATCTTTAGGAATCCTATTAATATAATCCTAATACGTTTAGTCATGTAATCATATTACTTTTAGGATATACTTCTTAAAAAAATCATATTACTAATTTAATTTTAAAACATATTATATTGTTCAATTACTAATTTAATTTGACAATGTATTAGTCTCTCTACTCCTTTGGAGTAGGGGTAAGGTCTTGAACACTATCCTCCCCAGACCCCACTTGTGGGATTTCACTGGGTCGTTGTTGTTGTCATGTATTATATTGTCCAAATTCATTTTTTTTAAAAGGCGAGCTTATATTATTATAAAAGCTCGAATACAATATTTATAGATCAAAATAACCCTAAAATATTAAACAGAAGAACTCATAGGGAAAGAACATAACTTTAATAACTTTTTTTTGGACTATAATAGCTTCTATGTTAATTTATAATATTTGAAATCATAAAATTAATAAAAGTTTATCTATTTAATTCTTATTAAAAATATGTAGGAATGTTTGATAAAATCAATTTCATAAGAATCATCTGTATTGGTAATACACTACTACTTGATAACATCCAATACTAAGAAAAAATAAAAGTAATGTTAAACGGACTACATAACGCATTGAAATTGAGAGAAAAAATCCTCATGATAATATATTTTTATATTATATTTGAACTGCTTTCCTACTCAAATAATATTTTGTTATTATTTATTCTCGTGTAATATTGAAAAATATACCTAATTATTAAAGAACAACTAAGAATTTTTTTAAAATTATAAATATGTGAGAAAGAGAAAGAAAAAGGTTGGTAAGAGTCAATACCACTAATGATTTTGCAACCACTAAGATCTAAAAGTGGAATGCCATATCAATCTTTTTACTCTTTAAAAATAAAATTTATGGGGGATATTATAATTACGATTAAATATTCAAAACAAGAGATGAACTAACATTAAAAATATGAATTAATACAAAATATATTATTTTTATGTTAAAACCAAATAATCAAAACTTCAATTAACTATTTAGCAAAGAATGCATTGTAATTAGTTTTTGAATCATCATATGAGTAAAATTATTTTTCAATAAAAGATATCTTAGGGTACATAAATTTATTCCATAAAAAGAGCGTTAGAGATTAAGAAAATTAGATCACAAAGTAAAAAAAAAAATATAGTATTAAAAAGGCCATGCAAGTGATTGAGAAAGCACAATCAAAGTTATATCCTAAACAAAAATAAGCTTTCAAGACTAATTATAAAGAGTCAATCTGGTATAGCGGAATTATCCTTTGTAGACACCCCCGCTGGAATCGAAATAATATTCCTATGTCATGCATTACTTGTAAATGTCAGACCAAGATGCAGGACATTGTTAGCTATAACAATTGATATACCATCAACAATTTTATTATGAGGTCGTACAACTCACTTTAGATTTGATATACCTCTTCAAACAACTGAAAAAAACCATCACAAATATATCAAAGCAGAGCAACAGTGCTAAATTTATAAGGAAACCAAATTGATAATATGGGATGAAGGGCTTATGGCTAAACGTCAAAGAATCGAAACAATTGCCTAGAGTTTTAGAGATATATTAGATATCAATGAACCATTNTTCTAAAAGAGAGAGATTTTTGAACCATTAGATTCAAAGTGTAACGGGTTCAGCCATAAGCTTAAATGTTGAACCCGTTAATTTAAATTTGGATCCGTCTTTGCTTTGTATTATTTCCATCCATGAGTGGTTATCGACGTGCTAAACTCATTGGAGATATAATGAAAATTGTTCTACTCGTAACATCTTTAGTTTGTTTAATGCACTATAATGTAAAAGAACTTTGAGAAGATCAGTCCTTTTGAATTATTTTAGCATCTATAATGATTTCTTTTTGCTTTTCATCCGATGTTACTCGTATTGAGGTTCTGATTAATTTGAATTTGCACCGTGTGAAGCTCATTAAAAGAGGAAAATGCTCGAATTCGAAACGTTTGAGTAATGGCGGAGAGATGTATAATAACTCATCATAAAAGGACATAATTGGAATTCTAGATATTAGCCTTATAATCCTATTAGTTTTAGGACGTAATACTACACGTTAGAAATCCTACATGATTACTTTTAGTAGAATCCTAATACTTTTAGTCATGCAGTGTTTTACTCCTTTTCTTATTAAATTCAAACTATGAACTCTATAATACATTCCCTGTTTAACTTGAATTTGAGTATAAAATATGAACTACGAATACTAAATCTAATTGGGGTTTTGACACAGTTACCTACAAAAATAAAACTATTTACCCTTGTCTGCCCATTTGTTTTCCTACCCATAAACTAATTACATTTTCTACCCATAGTAGGTTTTTGTGGAGAATTTTTTCTTTATTCTCCAATTCTTTTTTATTTCTATGCTTCTTTTCTTTTCTTTTTTTTTCTTTTCTCCTTTTCTTTTTTCTCGTTTTCTTCTTATTTTTTTCTTTTTTCCTTTTCTAATTTCATTTAACTT